CGGATGAGAGGTGAAACGTCTTCAAGTAACTTAAAGAAGTCCAGACGCTTTTCTTTGCAAGCTCCTTTGACTACGATGACCTGGATGACTGAGAATCTTCACAGACAAATCAGAAGGCTACATTCACTAAAGAGCACAAATGGAGTGATATGGAAAAACTCCCCAACACAGACAAAGTTTTTAAAACATGGAGTGCCATTCCTGACATGAAAAAGTATGCATTTAGAGTTTTGTCCACCTTTGGCTCAACATACTTATCCAAGCAAGTTTTTTTAAGCATGAACTTCATCAGTGTTGGGAAGGTTACTTTTGAAATGTATTGTTTGTGAAGGTTCTCAGTCATCCAGGTCATCGTAGTCTAAGGAGCTTGGGAAAAAAAGCATCTTTAAGTTGCTTGAAGACGTTTCACCTCTCATCCGAGAAGCTTCTTCAGTAAGGTCAAATGGCGGAGAGTCCCAGATTTAAACCCACTGGTAATAAACCCCAAAAATGTAAAATGTATTCCACTACAGATTAGAGAATACATGGCCCAAAATGTATTTTGTAACGTATTCCGTTACGTTACTCAATGAAAGTAACTGTCAGGTTTATATTGTTGATTCTCATTTATGCTTAGACATATTTACTCATTTATACTTAGAGTTTTATAATCAATTGCATATTGATAGGGGTCTGATCCTTAGCAGTCTGTAAAGACTCTGTGTGCCTTCCAGAGTGTTCTGGCATACACACTCACATCCTGGGGTCATGAGAGAGGTCGTACCTTCTTTTATTGTTTTATGGTATAGCAAACACAAGTATATCTGTTTCAGTATAAGTGCCTTTTGTTTAGATGAACTTCTGGACTGCAGGTTGACGGAAGTCGTTCACAGGGTCACATCTTGACCCCCCCCCCGCCACACACACACACACACACACACGCATGGTACTCTTTGTTCATGTGCATACCTATGTAACATATCCTATGTTAATGAACCCGTGCATATTCATGTAACGTCAATAAAGAACAGTGTTGCGAGGGAGCAGATGAGAGCAACTGGGGTCAAGTGAAGGAATGGCGCTCATCCAGTTCTCTCCCTCATGCACGATTAACATAAAGAACTTTGGTGACTTCCGTCTTGCTTTTGCTGTTGTAGTAGAATTGTCTCGTTCCAGCGAGGGGTTGTGCTAGACAAACCCATCAGTAAAGTATTCTGAAAACTTTGGATTACTAAATATATTGTCATGCTTTTTACAACTACATGGATGTACTATTGCTGTGTGATTTATTACTGTTACTGAAGGTCCGCGGCTCCGAACTATAGTAAAGGGACCTCTGGCTAATACATCAGGTTCCGTGTCGGGCTCGTAGCCGACACAGAACCCGTGCGTCTCTCGCAAGCAAAGTTGACCCACACAACTTTGCTTGCGAGAGACCCACGGGACAGACAGAGAAAGCGGTTGAAAGGCTGCTCCAACTGAACTTATTGTTTCAGAGGAAAACACAAACACAGTGCACAGTTGAGTCTTAATAGCTTACTTACAACTGGGCTCGTCAGGCTCTCTTCTTGGCTGCAGTGGTTATTATATTTAAATGCTTCCATCTCCCGTTTCTGCTCGATGACAGCTGGTACTTTTCCACTCTCTCTCCCTCCTCGCGCTCACAGACACATAACTGGTATGGAAGTCCATTCTCCCTTCAGCACGGACTACACTGCCCATGATGCTACATTCTTTAGAGCTATGCCTGTAGCATTCTGCCTATTAGCTTTGCACAACAGCAAAAAGGCGCTCTCTCACCCAGGAAACACACAGTCACAGAGAGAGAGCATCACCCTGTAACCATGGCAACCGTAACGCTGCCGCCTGGAACAACAGAATGTAGCTGTCAAACAAAACCCAAACAGTCCTGACCCGCGAAACAGGAAAATACCGCCATGTAATCCATTTATTTCAACAAAGTAACTGTATTCTAAATACCACCTTTTTAAACAGTAACTGTAACGGAATACAGTTACTCATATTTTGTATTTTAAATACGTAATGGTGGTACATGTATTCTGTTACTCCCCAACACTGAACTTCAGACACAGAAGTCACAGTAAACAGGTAAGAAAAACAGCATTTAATAAGCTATGATTTTTCAGGAAAAAAAAAGTATTTCAGACTTTGAGCTGATATAGATTTTTTGTTTGTTCAGGTGCTTTTATCGAGGAACGGGAATGCAACACAACTCCTACATACTGCAAGGACTGTTTACTCCAGAATCAGCTGATCGCCCTGATGCCGGCTAGTTGGCCGGCCAGACCCACAGACGTACCAGTTGAAATGTGGAGGAAAACAGGAAGACAGAAAAGAAGAAAGAGGGAGACGGTGAGACAGCGGCGGCTCGAAGCGAGGAGGAGGTACAAACCATGTCTCCCGTCTATCGTAATGGGAAATGTGCGATCGTTAATAAATAAAATTGATAAGCTCTCAGCGCTGGTACAGAGTCAGAGGGAATACCGGGAGTGTAGCCTGATGCGTTTCACTGAATCATGGATGTACCAGGACATTCTCAATGATAACGCATCTGTGGAAGTCCATCTGGACCAGCCGGATAGCACCGTGAGACTTTTTTACTTTTCCAGTGCTTTCAACGCTATCAGGCCAACCCTCCTGGAAAATAAGCTGACAGCGATGCAGGTTGATGCTTCTCTGGTGTCCTGGATTGTTGATTAACTGACAGGAAGACCACAATGTGTGCGTCTTCCACAGTGTGTGTCTTACAAGGTAATCAGCAACACAGGGGCACCACAAGGGACTGTCCTCTCCCCCTTCCTCTTCACCCTCTACACCACAGACTTCAGCCACTGCACAGAGACCTCCATCTTCAGAAGTTTTCTGATGACTCTGCGGTGGTTGGATGCATCAGCAGGGATGAGGAGACAGAGTACCGGGCTGTGGTCGAGTTCTTTGTCACATGGTGTGAGAAGAATCCTCCTCAGCTCAACGTGGCAAAGACAAAAGAATTGATCATGGGCTTCAGGAAGACCAGAAAACACTTGACCCCGGTTTCAATCCAGGGGGTCAATGTTGACATGGTGGACAACTATAAATACCTCGCCCACAAAAACAGAAAAAGGGGTAAAATACACAAAACCTAACTAAACCAAACATAATAAACTCCAATTCCCCCCCATGGTCCCGAATTATGGCATGAACCAATTTGTATTGTTCCTTTAAAACTCGCTCCGCCCCTTTTCCACCTCTTGGCTCCTCAATCAAGGGACTGGAGCAGCTGCAACTAAGGTAACTCAGAAAACAAAAGATTAATCATACATAACAGTGTAAACTAAAATGTGCGCACTTATTTTAGAATACAGTGTCATGTCAATCCTCTACACCTGGGAGCAGGCTGAGAGTTGATGATGCCAACAGACTCGATAAACTGATCCGTAAGGCCAGTAATTTTGTGGGGATGGAGCTGGACTCCCTTAAGGTGGTGTCGGAGAGGCGGATGTCCGAAATAAAGATAATGTTGGATAATACCTCCAACCCACTCCATGACGTGCTTGTCAGTCACAGGAGCATGTTCAGTCAGAGACTGAAGGTACCAAAAAGCACCACAGAACGACACAGGAAATCATTCCTGCCTGTGGCCAATTCTGTACAACTCATCCACTTAACACACTGTATACTGCAATAGCCACAACCTTTTTAAGCTATTTATCAATAAGTGACTTATATGTGTATATATATGCATGTATATATTGTTTATATTGTGTCTATTTCTTACTTATCGTATTGTCTGTCTTTTTTACTGTTTATACTGGAGCATCGTAACCAAAATAATTTACCCTAGGGATCAACAGTGTTGGGGAGTAACGAAATACATCTACCGCCGTTATGTATTTAAAATACAAAATATGAGTAACTGTATTCTGTTACAGTTACTGTTTAACAAGGTAGTATTCAGAATACAATTACTTTGTTGAAATGAATGGATTACATGGCAGTCTTTTCCTGTTCCATATGTTAAGCTATGCTCTCTCTATTTTTGCTAATTCCACGCTGGTGGAAACCCAAACAAAACACGCATTAAGACGCTCTAATGCCTGGGTTTCAATCTCACAGTCTCTACAGCCAGTTGTAAGTAAGCTATTAAGACTCGACTGTACACTGTGTTCATGTTTTCCTCCGAAACAATAAGTTCCATTGGTGCAGCCTTTCAATGACCTAGACAACAAAGTGAAGCTAGTGTTCAGCTAAGAACCCGACACGGAACCGATGTAATAGCCAGAGGTCCCTTTGCTATGGTTCGGAGCTGCGGACCTGTTTTTTAAACGCCCCGAATAGTTTTCTATACGAGATAGCTGCAAAAAGAGCAGCCTTACCTAATGTCCACCTGCTGTTACTCATTTATATTAAGATTTAAGAATCTAGTTGGTATCGGTATGACGAGTAACCTTCAGTAATAGTAATAAATCACACAGCAATAGTACATTAATGTAGTTGTAAAAAGCATGATAATATATTAAGTAATCCAAAGTATTCAGAATACGTTACTCTCATTGAGTAACGTAACGGAATATGTTACAAAATATTTTTATTTTAATATTTAATATTTATTTAATATCTATTACATTTTAGGCCATGTATTCTCTAATCTGTAGTGGAATACATGTTAAAAGTAACCTTCCCAACAGTGGGGATCAATAAAGTATTCTGATTCTGATTCTGATTCCTGAGTCTGGAAACTATCGATGGCAAATTTGATCAACAATAGTGAATGGTGATCGTATGTCTGCAATAATGTGACACCAGATAAAAATGTAAAAACAATTGTAAAAACAATACTGATAAAGCATGTAATATAAACAAACACAAAGGCAGATTAAGAAGCCAGGCGAAACACATTATTATTGTTTTTATCTGCTATCATCAGATCTTGCCTCATCAGTGCTGACTTAATCTTCGCTGACTGATGGAACACAACTTGAACCTGTGGAGGCTGAAAAACTGTCCTGTCAAACGTCTCCCTGTCTGAAAGCACTGAAACTTCTTCACATTTGTCTTCAGACACATCCTGAACATTTATGAACTAAATAAAGTTTCAAACATCAAAGAACTGAAACACAGAAAAACAGTGACAGCTGCAGTCAGTGAACTCACCTCAGAGTCTCCAGTCGACAATTTGGACTCTCCAGTCCAGCACACAGAAACATTACTGCTGAATCCAGCAGCTCGTTTCCACTCATATCTAACTCTGTCAGCTGGGAGGGGGGGTTGGACTTCAAAACTGAGGCCACAACTTCACAGTGAGCCTCTAAGAGTCCACAATAAGTCAGTCTAGGATTATAGAAAATATAAAATTTGTTATTATGAAAGCAGAAATTTAAAATTTTTCAAAAAGTCCACACTTTTCCCATCAATTGTTCCGTCTGTCCTGCTCGCTTCTCCAATGGTTGTACATGCTGTCATTAATGTCGCTTCACTGCTCATCAGCCATGCCGCTTTGCTAGCTAAAACACCGGTGTCAGCACATAAGGACGCTGTCATAGCCTGTCAACGATGTTGATTAGCTGCATATATACGAATGTGAATCCCGTGATTGGCTGGACTATACAATAAGGTGGCATTGTTCTAATCTCATACTGGAGCAGCCAGTCACTTACTGACTAACACTGCAAAACAGAATTGTTAACGTATTTACTTTAATTTCAATTCAGGTTAGAATAATTTTTTTTTGTGCGCAATGCAGATTTTTTCTGCGCAAAGACCGTGCCAGCAGTGCGCAATTGTGCACGCGTGCAGTTTAGAGGGAACATCCTCCAGATTAGGATAGTATGTAAACCTTATGATATTTATGAAGCTTCTTCCCAAACAAACACAGCATTTATAAAAGATAAATAGCCTGTAACAATGTACAGCTCACACATCTCAGACCAGGTGTACGCATAGATTAGAAACATCTGCAAGTGAAATGAAGAAATGTTACTTTAAAGTAAGTAAAGTACCGTCGTGGCCCAAAGTTTTGAGAATGACACAAAAATTAGTTTTCACAAAGTTTGCTGCTAAACTGCTTTTAGATCTTTGTTTCAGTTGTTTCTGTGATGTATTGAAATATAATTACAGGCACTTTATATGTTTCAAATGCTTTTATCGAAAATTACATGACATTTATGCAAAGAGTCAGTATTTGCAGTGTTGGCCCTTCTTTTTCAGGACCTCTGCAATTCGAATGGGCAAGCTCTCAATTAACTTCTGGGCCAAATCCTGACTGATAGCAACCCATTCTGTCATAATCACTTCTTGGAGTTAGTGGGGTTTGTTTGTCCACCCGCCTCTTGAGGATTGACCACAAGTTCTCAATGGGATTAAGATCTGGGTTTAGATCTAGATCTTAGTCTTAGATCTAAGATCTTAGTTTAGAGTTTACAGGCCATGGACCCACAATTTCAACGTTTGTTCCCCGAGCCACTTAGGTATCATTTTTGCCTTTGGGCACGGTGCTCCATCATGCTGGAAAATGCATTGTTCTTCACCAAACTGTTGTTGGAAGAAGTTACTGTTGGAGGGTGTTTTGGTACCATTCTTTATTCATGGCTGTGTTTTGGGCCAAAATTGTGAGTGAGCCCACTTCTTTGGATGAGAAGCAACCCCACACATGAATGGTCTCAGGATGCTTTAATGTTGGCATGACGTACGACTGATGGTAGCGCTCACCTTTTCTTTACAGACAAGCCTTTTTCCAGATGCCCCAAACAATCGGAAAGAGGCTTCATTGGAGAATATGACTTGGCCCCAGTCCTCAGCAGTTCATTCACCATACTTTCTGCAGAAGATCAATATGTCCCCGATGTTTTTTGTTTTCTTTTTTTTGGGGGGGGGGGAGAAGTGGCTTCTTTGCTGCCCTTCTTGACACCAGGCCATCTTCCAAAAGTCTTTGCCTTACTGTGCGTGCAGATGCGCTCACACCTGCCTGCTGCCATTCCTGAGCAAGCTCTGCACTGGTGGCACTCCGATCCCGCAGCTGAATCCTCTTTAGGAAACGATCCTGGCGCTTTCTGGACTTTCTTGGACACCCTGAAGCCGTCTTAACAAGAATTGAACCTCTTTCCTTGAAGTTTTTGATGATCCTATAAATTGTTGATTTAGGTGCAATCTTAGTAGCCACAATATCCTTGCCTGTGCAGCCATTTTTATGCAATGCAATGATGGCTGCATACGTTTCTTTGCAGGTCACCATCGTTAACAATGGAAGAACAATGATTTCAAGTATCACCCTCCTTTTAACATGTCAGGTCTGCCATTCTAACCCAATCAGCCTGATATAATGATCTCCAGCCTTGTGCTCATCAACATTCTCACCTGAGTTAATGAAATGATCTCAGCAGGTCCTTTAATGATAGCAATGAATTGCAGGAAAGGGTTTTTTGGGGGGATTAAGTTAATTTTCATGGCAAAGAAGGACTATATAATTCACCTAATCGCTCAGCAGGTCCTTTAATGGTAAATGGTAAATGGCCTGTATTTGTATAGCGCTTTCCTTGTCCCTAAGCACCCCAAAGCGCTTTACACTACATTCAGTCATCCACCCATTCACACACACACATTCACACACTGGTGATGGCAAGCTACATTTTAGCCACAGCTGCCCTGGGGCACACTGACAGCAATGAAATGCAGTGGAAATATTTTTTTGGGAATAAATTAATTTTTGTGGCAAAGAAAGATGATACAATTCATCTGATCACTCTTCATAGTATTCTGGAGTATATGCAAATTGCTATTATAAAAACTTAAGCAGCAACATTTCCAATTTTCAATATTTATGTAATTCTCAAAACTTTTGGCCACGACTGTAGGAAAGGAATATTTCCTTTTTTCCCCTTTTTTCCTCCATGATTATGTGAGGCCAGCAGCATAAGAAGAGAAACCCTGACCTCCCTCTCCCCAGTGTTAGGGTTAGGGTTCCTCTAAAATGTTAATCAGAGGTGCATTTACACTCACCAGCTACTTTATTAGGTACACCTGTTAAATCTCTAATCAGCCAATCACACGGCAGCAGCTCACTGCATTTAGGCATTTAGATGTGATGAAAAGAACCTGCTGAAGTTCAAAATGAACATCAGAATGATGAAGAAATGAGATTTAAGTGACTTTAAACATCGCATAGTTGTTGGTCTGAGTGTTTCAGAAACTTCAGATTGTTAAGTAATGAATATATAATCTTAAATGCTTATATGCTGATTATATTGGTTTATATAAGAGAGGTCCAACTCTTAGTACAGTTTGTGCCGAAAGGACTGACAGGAAATTACATGCTTTTGCAGAGCATGCTTTTGCAGGCAGAAAGTGAAACTAAGCAGAGTGTTTGATCGAAACTTAAAGTGTATGTGACGTCGAGAAGTACATAAATAACCTGGCTTCCTGTTTTCTGCTTGAGACTGGCTGATGTGAGCAGGCGTTTCTGTGTGTGCTCAGTCTCCATATCCCGGGATATGTAAAATTAAAGATCATTGTTTGAGTTTGACCACTTTGAGCCCTGTGTCTTTCTTGGCCGTTCAAGAATACAAAGAATGAAATTTAATAATTGGTGCCAATTCTTTTGCGGCTGATAAATAAAAGTAAAGTTTGTGGATATTTGACAAAATTTATTGTGATTAATTTTAGGGTGAAGTTAAAAGTTGTTGTGACGTATGTTTGAAGTTGGTGTGTTATATGTGTGGGTGTGTTACGTCAGCCAAGAAAAGAGATTAGATTAGGACATTTGGTCAGGGAATTTTATTCCCACATTGATTATAGGGTGGGACCTGGGCATCAGATAATAAACTGGCGGTTAGAGTCCACAGTGATGCTTCTAGAATTATTTAAATTGTAGGACGGAGACAGCGTTTCTCTAGGGGTGCAAAATGTTCTGAGTGTTATGGTTCCATCTTGTGGCGGATGCGCTGCAATTTCCTGCGGCGACAGGGTCATTCGGGTGATACCCGCGACAGATAGAGACAGTCGTTAATAATCAGTGGTCAAGCACCACTTTTCTTTCACCGTTTGATCGACAGGGCGGGGTCCCGGCCATGACCCTTCAATGTGACTGACAGGTAAGATTTAAGTAAAGCTTTAAGGCGCAAGTGGATACTTAGACGCTGGAAGTGGAGCTTCCTGTCGAGCTGTGCAGGAAACTGTGAGCTTGTGACGTTGCAATATGAAAACAGAGGAATTAGAGACTGAATGTATTAAGACAGCAATGAAAATGATATTAATTGAATGTTTTAGTGTGTCAATACAGGTGGACTCTTCTCAACTTGAAAACATGAGTACAGCGGCAAAAGCATAGATTAACAGAATTGGGAGGAAAACAGGCTTTGGCTTAAAATTTGACAGCTTCACCGCTCATTGTCTCCTTATCCTGAGAAGGATCTTAAAGGACAGTCAATCTCCTGATGAAGACAGAAGACAGACAGAACAGTGCAACTGAACTATAACACTGACGACTCCAGCAGTAGCATGTAAGAAAGCACGTGATACAACATGCACTGTGAATTACAGGCTGGGAAGAACAGTGGGATAAATGACTGTGGGAAAGCACTGGACACTGATTTTCAGGTTTGCCATGCTGGGAGTTAACCTAAAGGGAAAAGATCAACTGAGAAGAAGAAACAGCTGACGGTGTTGGCTGGAGATTTTAAGGCCACACCGAACACCGTGAGAAGAGGGACAGGGACCAGTCAGAGGTGAAGCCAGGACGATTTCGAGTGCGAGAATACAGGATATAATTGGATTGAAATTGAAGCCTGAACTCGTGATGGTTTAGAGAATGTCTCAGTTTTGTTATATTCAGGGCAAAGCAGACCTGGACCAATTTTCCACAAAGTTTTTATAACTTATGCATGTAATGACGCAAGAGGGGGCGTCAGAAAACGTACCCTGATGCTATAAACACAACTGCTGGTGTATTTTTGGGCGGAGATCGATGCTGTCTGTGTACAGTGTTCATCTCCCACACGTGTGTTCATTAAAACATCGTTTGATCTAACCCTTCTGGACCAGTGTTGTAATTTTGGATTCCTCCTGTGTCCCTCCTCGATATTTGAATCCGTACCATTGAATCATGTACCATTAAATTAAGAGGAGCAAATGAACTCAAAATATGGTGTATGAAGAACATGACTGATAACTGTTTTGTCTTAAGTTTTGTTATAACACAGGTATTACAAGTGGGAAATGTGAGTTTTAAAAATGAAGTTAGTGTTAACACACAGGTGTTGTTTCTAGGCAGCTCTGAATGGAGCCAGGAGTTTAAAAGATTTAACATGATGATTAAACTGATTTTATTCCTAAAGACATGTTTGGAGGCCCGGGGCAATATACCCGAGAGGAGAATTGCGTCATTGTGTCATGAAGGGGTGATTTTGTGTTTAAGTTGAAATAAGGGGCTTTATGATCATGTTTGGACTTTCTGGGAGCTTGATAATTTAGCTATGATAAAACTTACGCATAAGTAATTGCTTTTATGCTTAAACTTAATTGATTGGAAATGTTTGTTTTCTCTTTGATATTTTAGTAGAATAAGCGGTTATAATGACTTAAAGTGCTCATGAAGAGATGATCTATTGTGAAAGGTGACAGGGTGTAAAAGGTCAATGAAGATGTTTGCAGAGACAGATAACATGTACTGCGAATTGTAGGTCAGAGTTAAGGCACATTCTGCTTGGCAACTTTCGCACCTGCAGAAGCAACAGTTTGTGTACAGGATGTTGATAATCAGATAAGAGGAGAAGAGAGTGAGCAACAGGAAACACCTGGAGGGACGTGACAGCGGCTCTTTAAGTGTTTTAAAAGTTGTCAAAAGTGTCGCTTAAAGGATAGAGCCCAGAACATGATAGGTTGAACTAACTTTGAATAATTAAAAGAACAATTGATACGCATAGTAGACTAGTAAGGCGTAGTAGGGAAAGGTGTTTTGTTTCCTTTGCAGGACATTTCGGGACCACAGCGACCACAGGGGTGGCGAGACTCCAGGGAGCACCGGACCGAACGGAACCACCAGAGAGGGGCACCCAAAAGAAGCACAGAGCACCACAGTTGAATAAAATTTGTTGTTTAGGGTTAGTTCAAGAATACAAAGAACGAAATTTAAGAAGATCTACTCGATTTTCCCACACAGTCATCTCAGTTTACAGAGAATTGCCTGAAAAAACGGAAAAATCTAATTAACAGGTCATTGGATAATATTTGACGGTCTGCATTTGTGAATTTCATCATTTTTCATTTACATATTTTTTTTCTTCTCTGATAACTCAGTCATGCGATTATGACTTTAAAGTTTGTTTCATGTTGAGTGACCTCTGACCCTCACTGACTCAAACACCTCCAGATTCAGACCAATGATGCTTCCAGCCTTGCTAATTAGTTTATTGATCCTGCTCCACCTCTGCTGATTCAGACTGTCTTTATTGATTCATCAAACATGCTTGTATTGTAATTTTGATCCCTGTATATATTTTATATCCTCAAGTTGAGAAACAGTGGCAGATGGTCTGGTGCTCTCTATCAGCACTTCAACTACTTTCACAGTCTAGGAACGTCTCTGTCCACTACAGAATGTGAAATGCATCTGCTTGCAAGATTTCCTCTCAGGGATTATTTGAAGAATTGTAAAGGCCCACATTCAGAGACTTTTCAGCTTATACACCTACATATGTGTAAGGATATAAATATTTTGTATAGTACGGTTATAGTGGACTCAGTTGGTTTTCCCGGTATCTGTCTAGTTTGTGTTTTCCTGTTTAAGTCACTGCTCTGTTTCAGTGACTCTGCTGTAACTGCAAAAATAGGCATTCATTCATTCAATACAACACTAACACAAGTCAGTGTTTACATTTTCTCTCCATGTCCTCATAGATGTTATTAAATTTCATAATCATTAAGTAATGTTTTGACGGTACTTTTTTAGATACAGGTGTTAAGCTGAGATCTGATATCTGTCCATTGATCCATTGCTACTCATTAATTACCCATCTTGGATGTTAAAGAAGTTAGCAGTGAGTTATTCCATATCACTTGTGAGATCATCATTCCAACTATGTTATCTTATACCCATAGTCAAGGTAGATGAATTATGTTAAACAGCTGTAGAACATAAATATATTCCTTAGTGTAGGTTGTGTGCAAAGTATGTAGCTTAGTTTCCTTATATTTTTAGGTTAAAGAACATGACCATTGTTGTAGTATGTTAGACAAATGTTCCAGTATATTTTTGGGGATTAAAAGAATGTGACCATCTTTGGGTTCTGTTAGACAGGTGGGCGCCGCCATTTATCTGCTGTGAATGTTTTACACTGTTTTCTTGTCATGTCAGACTGCTTAAATCATTTTCTGAGAATGTTGTGTGCAAAAGACCTTGTGCCGATAATAAGAAGAAACAGACCACATTCTGTGCCCCCACCCTTGTAGGAGGTAGAAAGACAGGGAGCCCGAGGTCATAACTTAGGCGCCATGACAGATAAGGGACTGTGAATGTTTAGGTTTACGACCAGGTGGGGGCCAGTAGAAAGTATAAAAAGCTGTGTAACACACCACCATTTTGAGACTTGCTGTGACCCTCTCATGCATCTCTCCCCATCTGGATGGTTTTTATGCTCGTGTGAAAATTGTATGGAAATAAAGGATTGTTGATTGAGCATTTATACACAGAGTATTGTCCTTCCTTCAGCCCAAAGATTCAAAGAATTGGGAGATTTCAACACACTACATCCTAAAAATTCATAACTAAGGGAACATCAAAATGAAGTCACACCAAACAGTTAAAAAAAAAGTGCTTGTAGAATGCATCTTAATGGCTATGCTATGTATTCACATACAAAATTATGCTGACAGGTGATTTAACTTAGAAATATGATCTGAAATTTGTTATTTTCTTTGATTTTAATTTCAGAATTTTTAAAAACCTAAAGAAAACCTGGTGTATTTCTGAATAAAAAATCTACGGCTCTATTCTGATGATGGTAATGAACCAATTTGGACTCACCGAGCCTTTCTGCAGTTCCTCACAGCTGGAATCAGTCTCAGTCGTCCCCGTTTTGATGTGTTGTATTTCTGCAGGTCCAACTCATCCAGGACCTCCACTGACATCTGCAGCATGAAGGCCAGAGCTGAGCAGTGGATCTCAGAGAGTTCCTTGTCTGATCTGTTCTCTGACTTCAGGAACTCTTGGATGTCTTCATGTACTGAGAGGTCGTTCATCTCCATCAGGCAGTGGAAGATGTTGATGCTTCTGTCAGGAGAGTTTTGATCACTATTCATCTTCTTTAGGCTGTTTATGGCTCTCTGGATGGCTTCTGGACTGTTCTCTGTCTGACCCAGCAGACCTCCTAAGAGTCTCTGGTTGGACTCCAGACAGAGGCCATGAAGGAAGCGAACAAACAGGTCCAGGTGGCCATTTTTACTCTGGAGGGATTTTTTCATGACTCTCTTCAGGAAAACATTCAGAGATGACTCATTGTAGTCTATCCTCAGGAAGTCCACTACCACCTTTGCCGCCGTGTTGGTGAAACAGTGGAACATGTAGACTGCAGCCAGAAACTCCTGAATGCTCAGATGAACAAAGCAGTAGATTGGTTTCTGGAAGATCACACACTCTCTTTTGAAGATCTCTGTACAAACTCCTGAGTACACCGAGGCCTCTGTCACATCCAGACCACACTGCTCCAGGTCTTCTTGGTAGAACATGATGTTTCCTTTCTCCAGATGTTCAAATGCCAGCTTTCCCAGCTTCAGAAGAACTTCCCTGTCAGCCTCCGTCAGCTCATGTGGACTCGTCTCATGTCCCTCATAGTAGTTCTTCTTCTTCCTCTTTGTCTGAACCAGCAGGAAGTGTGAGTACATGTCAGTTAGGGTCTTGGGAAGCTCTCCTCTCTGCTCTGTAGTCAAGGTGTGCTCCAGAACTGTAGCAGTGATCCAGCAGAAGACTGGGATACTACACATGATGTTGAGGCTTCTGGATGTCTTCATGTGGGAGATGATTCTGCTGGACAGCTCTTCATCACTGAATCTCCTCCTGAAGTACTCCTCCTTCTGGGCGTCGGTGAAACCTCGTATTTCTGTTACTCTGTCAACACATGTAGAAGGGATCTGATTGGCTGCTGCACGTCGGGAAGTTATCCAGATGAGAGCCGAGGGAAGCAGATTCCCCTGGATGAGGTTTGTCAGCAGCTCATCGACTGATGACTTCTGTGTGACATCAGACACGAGCTTCCTGTTGGTGAAATCCAATGAAATTCTGCTTTCATCCAGGCCGTCAAAGATGAACAAAAGCTGAGAGACAGTGAGATTCTCTGCTGTGACCTTGTGTAATGTTGGATGGAAAACATGGAGCAGCTCCAGAAGACTGTACTGCTCATCTCTGATCAGGTTCAGCTCCATGAATGAAAGCAGAACCACCACGCTGACATGTTGGTTCTCCAAGCCCTTTGCCCAGTCCAGAGTGAACTTCTGCACTGAGAAGGTTTTTCCAACACCAGCAACGCCATTGGTCAGAACCACTCTGATGTGTCTCTGTTGGTCAGGTAAGATTTTAAAGATGTCCTGGCACCTGATTGGAGTGTCATGGAGGGTGTCCATCTTGGAAGCTGTCTCCAGCTGCCTCACCTCATGTTGGGTATGAACCTCTTCACTCTGTCCCTCTGTGATGTAGAGCTCAGTGTAGATCCTGTTGAGGAGGGTTCTACTTCCTGTTTCATCACTTCCTTCAGTCACAC